ATTAAATACTTTGTTCATTACATAGTTGAATGTGCTGACAACAAAATCACACAAAAATTATCAATGGAAATCAAATTTAGCAACCCATGGAGGTCTGGATTTGGAGTTACACTCAAAAGTAAAGTGGAAAAAAACACTACAGGCTGATCCAACTTTGATGTAATGTCCTTAAAACAAGTCAAAATGAGGCTCAGTAGTGTGTGTGGCCTCCACGTGCCTGTATGACCTCCCTACAACGCCTGGGCATGCTCCTGATGAAGTGGCGGATGGTCTCCTGAGGGATCTCCTCCCACGCCTGGACTAAAGCATCCCCCAACTCCTGGACAGTCTGTGGTGCAACGTGGCATTGGTGTATGGAGTGAGACATGATGTCCCAAATGTGCTCAATTGGATTCAGGTCTGGGGAACAGGCGGGCCAGTCCATAGCATCAATGCCTTTGTCTTGCATTAGGAGGAACCCAGGGCCAACCGCACCAGCATATGGTCTCACAAGGGGTCTGAGGATCTCATCTCGGTACCTAATGGCAGTCAGGCTACCTCTGGCGAGCACATGGAGGGCTATGCGGCCCCCTAAAGAAATGCCACCCCTCACCATTACCGACCCACTGCCAAACCGGTCATGCTGGAGGATGTTGCAGGCAGCAGAATGTTCTCCACAGCGTCTCCAGACCCTGTCACGTCTGTCACATGTGCTCAGTGTGAACCTGCTTTCATCTGTGAAGAGCACAGGGCGCTAGTGGCCCTCATACCACCCTCATGGAGTCTGTTTCTGACCATTTGAGCAGCCACATGCACATTTGTGGCCCACTGGAGGTCATTTTGCAGGGCTCTGGCAGTGCTCCTCCTGTCCCTCCTTGCACAAAGGCGGAGGTAGCGGTCCTGATGCTGGGTTGTTGCCCTCCTACGGCCTCTTCCACGTCTCCTGATGTATTGGCTTGTCTCCAGGTAGCGCCTCCATGCTCTGGACACTATGCTGACAGACACAGCAAACCTTCTTGCCACAGCTCGCATTGATGTGCCATCCTGGATGAGCTGCACTACCACTTGTGTGAGTTGTAGACTCCGTCTCATGCTACCACTAGACTGAAAGCACCGTCAGCATTCAAAAGTGACCAAACCATCAGCCAGAAAGCATAGGAACTGAGACGTGGTCTGTGGTTACCACCTGGAGAACCACTCCTTTATTGGGGATGTCTTGCTAACTGCCTATGCTTTCCACCTGTTGTCTATTCCATTTGCACAACAGCATGTGAAATTGATTGTCAATCAGTGTTGCTACCAAAGTGGACAGTTTGATTTCACAGAAGTGTGATTGGCTTGGAGTTACATTGTGTTGTTTAAGTGTTCCCTTTATTTTTTTGAGCAGTGTATTTTAAGGAATAATTCAGAGAAACAATAATGAAATGGAGAAATTCTCGGTGGAGTTCTTATATAAAAGAGTGACTGGTGTGTTTCGAAAGATTTTTTTATAGTCTTAGGTTTAATATTCATAGAATAATATTGTTACTGCTATTGCTGGAAACAAAATTTTGTTGCTGATGTAATATTAATACTACTTTATGAATTGCTGTCTAAATTCTTAACCTGAATTAATGTCATACAAATGAATTCATGCTTCCATTTACACCAAGGAATCCTTGTGTACGATACAGTTGCAGTAATAAGAAATCACTAACTGCAAAAAATCTATGATTACCTTATAATTCCTTTTTGATATAGATTCGAGAGAGATTTGTAAAAGAGCCAGCATTTGAAGACATCACTTTAGAATCGGAGAGAAAACGAATATTTAAGGATTTCATTTATTTACTGGAGGTAATGTCTGACATACCAGTTAAACATAATATTTTCTAATAGATTTGTACAGATTCTCAAAGAATAGTTACTTTAATGTTCACTGAAGGGTATTATAGCTATGTTGACACAGCTGAAACCGGTAGATGTGAGAAAGATCTTCAAAGGGCAGCTGCGGTACACATCCAGAAAAATGTGGGGGATAAAGGGAAGAAAAAGATGGGCCTGCCAATTGCAGCCAATGTGTTGCTTCATGGTGTCAGGAAACCATAGAATATTTCTTAAGAATTTCCCAGTCCTTTATTCTCATGTATGATTTTTCCCTAACATTTTGATAGTACTTTATATTTTTTTACAATAACATTATCATGCACCATATAGTGACTGGGGTCATTTTAAACCCTAGGGATATATGTCAGTTTGAGCACACTACTGATTATTGATCTTTATGAGCCACTGGGGTTGTGCAAATTCTTGGGGAAAAAGTGCTTCAGAATTCACTTGGCACACCTGTTCTTCACCCATTAAAACTGCTGTGTCTTTTTCTGCACAGGCACAACTATCTCAGAAATTGCTCTTGGTAATTTATGGTTGTGCACAATCACTTCTCAGCCCCACCCCACCCCCACCTTCATTCCCCTCAAATTGTAAGAAGATACCAGCTAGATTTAATCCTCATCCTACAAAGATTGCTGAGGAAAGGGTCTAAGGAGAGAAGTTCCTGGCAGGCTGTGGCAATATGGTAGTGCTGAAATTTGTTCAAGCAAAGTAGTTGTTCTTCAGTCTCTCTCCTAGTAGATTTGCTGAGACTTTTTTGGGGGGGAATGCAAGATTGAAATAAGACCATAAGGGAGGTCTCCAAAAGCTTCCGTTACTGCCTCTATGTGATTTAGTCATGTACTATAAGAAAGCAGCACTTTGATTACTAGGTACTGCTTTTTAAAGCAATAATTCTGATTCTTTTGATACTGCAGCATGAGTGTCAGCATCATCATTCAAAGAACAAGAAGCACTCTAAAAAATCAAAGAAGCATCATAGAAAGAGGTCTCGCTCTCGTTCGGTAAGGCCTTTGATAGCATGCTGCAGGGAACTCATCTCAAAAGTTATCTTTAAAAGCTCTGGTATGTTAAGCAGGCTTTTTTATTTCTTTAAAAGGGCTCAGAATCCGAAGATGACGATAGCCATTCAAAGAAAAAGAGGCAACGCTCAGACTCACGCTCAGTTTCTGAACGCTCCTCCAGTGCAGAATCTGGTATTATTATTATTATTTTTCTCTAAATCTTCTCTAGGGGAAAAAAAACAAAAGTAGTGCTAAATTTCAACAGCCTGATTTCCCTTTCATTTCCTAATTTGTTTTGCATTAATAGAGAGAAGCTACAAGAAGTCAAAGAAACACAAAAAGAAAAGCAAAAAGAGGAGACACAAGTCTGTGAGTATTTCTGTTTTGCATCTTTCGGTTACAACACGGATTTTCAGTATCTTACAATCTTTTAAGTTGTAAATAACGGTTATGCATCTGTCTCACAGCTAGTTAGTCTGATCAGCAAATGTATGTATTTATACATGCAATTTATATAACTCCCTGTGGTGGTGCTAAATAGCATGCAAAGATTAAAACCAAAAAAGTCATAACATGACTAGTAAACCAATACTTTAAAAACATGAATGTATCATGTGCCTGGGTTAGAAAAACCATTAGTGCTTTAGTGACTAAAAGAAATTACAAAGCATTCAAACAAGCACGTGTAATTTCTTGATTCAACTTCCTGTGCAAATATTTAAGTCTTTAAAGCCTTAGGAAAGGCAGCCAGGGCCAAGATCATCCCATAGGGCAGGCACAGTAAGAGAGAAGGGATGACAGGATCTGGAATATGCCAACTCTGTTCATTCTGATGGGGTGACAGAGACAGGCGGCCTAATACTGATAGATTATACTGTAACCAAGGATTAGGGTTTGTTTTTAAATGAGAACTTAAATGAGAATTCAATTCAGTCTTGTAGGCCCGTTTGCAACAGCATTGCTGCATATTTAGGTTAACTGGAACCAGGCCGTGGAAGTTGGTTGGCCAACTTCAAGCCTTGCCTTTTATTTTTCTCCTCCTTTTGTGAACTAGAATGTCAGTGTGCCAGTGCTTGATATGTCAGATTATTGAGCAAAGGAGGAAAGCCAAAATTTGTACTCTAGTTGGCTTGACTTGGTATCTACTGTTAAGATAAACTTCAGGGTTTTATGTAATTCTGAAGAATTAGTGGAAGTTGGAAGGTTTAACCCAACACAGTTTTACAGCATTAGTTTGGAGCACAAGAAAATTATGTAGACAGAGTATATTGCCGAAGAGTTCACATTTTAGAAAAATCTCGGGGTGGTATACTGGATTGCAATTTATTGCTTCTTTTGATTTATATTCTTCATTTTATTTTGGACAGGATTCTCCGGAATCGGATGTGGATCGAGAAAGAGACAAAAAAGAGAGAGAAAATGAAAAAGAAAGAAGTAGACAAAGATCTGAATCTAAGCATAAATCGCCACCTAAGAAGAGACCTAACAAAGATTCTGTAAGTTTGTTTTATCTTACCAAGTTCAGTATATTAATAACTGCAACATTTCTGAATTATACATGGTGTCTGGAATTCTGTCTATTTCCATTCCACATCCACAGTTTACTTTGATCACACCTGAGCATCCCATGGAGCAGATAACATTCTTTGACAGTCTTCGATGTGGCTTGCTGCATGTGCCTTGCTCAGAGTATGATCGTGCACACACACGCGCGCACACACACACATACACAGTGAGAGAGAGAGATTTATTTCTAGCAAGTTGGAGAAAATATATGAATGATGCTGGGGAGAAGGTTTGGAGCAATCAACCTGCTTGCTGATCCCTGCATGCAAATTATTCTCAACACAATCTGCCAAATAAGTGTTTAAAAGACTGGTAACACGGCAGATCCTCTCTTCAAAATCCCTAAAACACATCATCACCACCCTTTTTGATGGGCTGGATAAAGTGCAATTTGCATAAGGAAGGTCATTCTGGCATGTTTTCTTCCCAGCACAATCCTGCAACCAACAGTGTTCGATTACAAGAAACATCAGAAGAAGCAGATCAGATTCGGGTAAGACCAGATATATTGCATTTGGTGTGGTGTGGTATGGATGGGGGTGGGGCATGAGAACAAAAAGAAGTAAAGTTTGCACATACCTTTTATGAAATGCAATTTTTGAAAGATCTCAGAATATCTAATTCAGTATGTTTGAACTGTCAGTATTTGGAGACTCAATGAAATCTGTTCAGATCGGAGAGGAGGAGGAGTAGATAAAGTTAGTTTATACAGGCATTTGCCAAAAAATGAAATTCCTGTAACATCTTTTATGTCAACACATATTAAGTGACACATATTATTCATCTGAATAATAGTACAAATGTTTATTATATCCTTCTAATTAATATATTTTTGACATGTAGAATGGCACTTTAAAATAACGAAAGAAAATTAAGATTACAGATGACCTAGATGAAAACAGGACATGACCTCAGGAAGTTTTACTTAGGCTTTTGGATATGTAATTATCAGAAACAATGTTTACTTGAATACATGAATGCCTTTGTAAAGTTAACTTAGAGTAGTAGTTGGGGATATGGGAAGGATAGTTTGCAGTGTGAAAGTTATTTGTGCAAAAATGTTTTTTTTTTAAAAAAACAATGCTGGCAGAACCTGGTTAGGTGAAAGTACCCAGCTGATCTTCAAGTTGATCTAGATAGCCAATGAGAATTAGTCCCAATTAATACATAAATAGGAGTTTATCTGAAGGGTCGGTAGTTTTAAATTGATAGTTCCAATTACCATTTTTTCCCAATTGATAATTCTAATTTTTCTTAAGTCTTGGATTGAGGATTCAAAGATCACTTGATCTGTTTCATCTGGCTGTGAAGTGTTGAAAAACTTGATACACTTGTCTTAGATGACTAAATGAGAATCTTAAGCAAGTTGTTTTTTAAATATTAAAAATGGATATTTAATAATAGTTAAAGGGTCAATAAATCTTCATCTGAGAGAACATAACAGTTTAGTGCTATTATGCCAGTAATGTTCCTGGATGGATTATTTGCAAAAATACTTTGTGATTTGCCTTGGGGAGGAAGGAATATTGCCAAGGAATATCATTAATTTTTTAAAGAAAAACTTTTGGATTGAATGAATCAGTTGTCCGTCAATATGAGTCTGCTTAATGGAATTGATTCTTCTATTAATGTTATCACAGTGATAGGTATTTTGAGTGCCAATTTGGGTAGGTGCATTTGAAGATGAGTAGGAAAATAGCATTAGACTACTCAACAGTGTTAGACACAGCCTTAAAATAGCTCCTTAAGTTCTGATTGTACCCAGATAACCCCTTCACACTTTCCATTTGCATAACAGGAAAATATATTTAGTTTAGCACAGAATTTTAGAGAAATAATTTTACAGTGGATCTGTTTTTTTCATCATCAAACCAGTATGAAATCTGTATTACCTGCTGGTAGCCAAATTGCATTTCTTAATTTGTGTGGAGCATAAGAGGTGCCGTCCCATAAAATCAGTCTGGGAAGATGAGGGTTACAGGGTGGGGTGGGCAAGAAAAGCAGCTGGTCCCTGATCTAAAGGAATTGAATCCCTGACTATATTCAAAGGTGAACCAAACATTTGTCATTATCTGTTTGCAGGGTAATTGGGATACCTCTGGTAGTGAATTCAGTGAAGGTGAGCTTGAAAAACAAAGGAGGACCCTCTTGGAACAACTGGATGAAGATCAATAAGAAATATTTATACCAAATATGTTTACAAATTTGATTTAATAAAGATATAGATGACTAATTTCAGGAAATGGATTCCAATGTTCTGAGTTACAGTGGCATAATTGTGGCTCTTCGGTTCTCTTGCGTAACTAAATATTGACACAGGTAGCAGTTTGGCAAAGACGGTGAACATTCAGGATTCAACCTGAAGTCCTATTTCTTATCATCTAGATAGCCTGTATATATCCCCCCCATGTACCTTTCCATTCTTCAGACAGCACATTAGGATGAGCAGAAAAGCTTTTTTTAAAATAAAATAAAAAAACCCTTTAAAATAGTGGCTTGGAAAAGTATTTAAGCCTTTCAGGCCTCTCATCTCTAAAATGGCTCACACTCGAAAGTCATTAACTTCTTTTCCTTGTCAAAGAAGGTCCAAGAAGCTCGGTAATTTTCTTGCAGTTCCAATTGGGTTGGGTTGTTACTACTTTTCAAAGAGGAAAGGAAGAAGGAAGATGCTTTTTTTCTTGTTTTGATTTATGGTAATCCAGGAACCGGTGTTAGGTTTTTGAGAGTTACCTTTCTGGCCAAATTGATGATGGTGATTTCTATTGAACACTGACCGTAGGTTGAAATGTATACAAGAGTTTTTACTCAGAGCTTAATTTTTAGTGTTAAGTTTTAAAACTGTGAAAACTAGACGATTGATGGAAATCCTATTAGGCCCTTAATTATAAATTTGGTAAAATATACTTATGAAATATCATAGCTATTACTTTTATTAGAGAAGAAAAATCTGGAATATTTAAAAATAAAATTGGTAGAGGGCGTTGTTTCAGCAAATCACAAAATCAGACTGTAAATTAATTACAATATGTTGCCTTAAGGACTTTCCGAAGAATGTACCACCAAATTTTGAAAAGCAGTTGCAATACTCTTGTTTAGAAAATCAATGTTGATGTAATATTTTTCATTTAAGATATGTTGATCTGATGTTTAAAACTTGTTTTCCTTTTGTTCTGTTCTCTTCCTTTGTACTAAATAACTTCTATCTGACGTTGATTTGATGAAGTACTATCTATTCATTCAGGAGTATTGACTACTGTGGTACAGACTAAAATCTTTCTGATTTGAATATTTTTGTACATTTTTATCTCTTATTAAACCTTGTCTTCTAGTGTGTACTAGTATTTTTCTGTTTTATCAAAACTTATGTAAAGTTGACACATAACAATTTTACATTCTCTCACTTGTTACTTTGAAGAGTGCATGTAGAAATACATTTCTCTAGTATAATCGTTTTAACATATGTTTAATCATAGCAACAGAAAAGGCCTCTCCGGGATATATCATAGCATTAACATGGAATATTTTATGTGATTATTTAAATATAATGATGTTATTTCAAAGTTGATTTTTTCACTAGAGTAATTATAAGTCTTGATATTTCTTCAACTTCCTAAGAAATAAGACTTTTAGAATCAGTTGCATACAGTCAGTCATTCTGATTACATATATTAATTTACGTAAAAGTTTGAACCAATGGTCACACAAAAGGTAAAAAAACGTCAGGCACTTCTGTTACAACCTCCTTCAAGACAAATGTGAAATGTGAATGAAAACAAACTCCTTTTTCCAGCAGATGTATCTCCTGCAGTTCAATTGCTTTGGCAACTGTTCATGATATGCTCCAAACTCATCTTTGCTTAAGTTGTAATCCGATCATTTAGTGACAATTATATTTTTTCCATTGCTTCAAATAAAATCATAGTGCCATATTCAGAAAAGGACAAGGTACTGGGAAATATATTGTTGCAGAATGATGCTGTCAGTTTCTAGTGATAAGTTGTAATTATTCTCCAGGTTATGGATCGTTGATGTAGAACATGATGGAATCATAATATATATTTTGCTAAACTTGTTAAAAAAAACTATTTTGAAAAACTAAGTGTTGTCAGCTAGTTTAAAATTCCATAGTAGTAGTGAACAAGAGACAGACAAAAAAAAAAAAACAGCCTCCCATTATACTAGATGGCAGATTGTGACTAAAATACTCAGGTTTATATTGAGACTAGAATCCTACCCAGGACAACAGGTCAGCTGCTCCCTCCCCCACCCCCATGCAGTAGTATTTATGTAAAATACTTTTTATTACTTTGCATAATTTACATGAAGGAACATGTTTCTAAGCAAATATTAATTTTTAAAGCATTGTCTTTATTTTTCCATTAAAAATAAAATGCTATAAATATATCACTGTTTCTTAATATTTCTCCACATTTTCAGTTTATGGAGACGTAGAAATGTGTTTTTGTCTTTCCATTTGTAAAATGTCTTCTAATCTTCCTTCAAAAGAGGTGAGCAATATACAGCAGAGCTTTTTCCTTTGTCGTACATGGAAGTTCTGCTGTTGGCTCAAGGACATTCTTAAAGGGAATTATTCCTCTCGCTGCGAAGCCAGACAGGATCACTTATGACAAAGTCAGCTTGCCAGTTCTTGTTATCCTGTCTCTGCCCACAAGCAAATTCATAGAAAAACTTTTGACATAACTTTGAACTTTCTTCTCTGATGCCTGTAATCAAGGAAGTTCTACACTCTCCCTGGACACATCAAGGAAAGCTGGTGATTGGGCTTGCATTCTTGGACATGGCCCTTTAAGAGAAGCAAGGGCTTGATGGACCCAGATTGCTCTCCTACTTGCCCAAAAGGCCCTTTTTTCACAGGTGCACAATAGATAGGATGTTAGGTTTCTGAGAGCAATGGGATTCACAGGAATCAAGTCTCTGGGAATCAAGGAACTCAGAGATTGAAGGAAACTGGAACATTTCTTATGACACCACATCAGGGGTGGCATCCAGACTTCTGTAGTAGTTCAGGCTTATGTTTGTCCCCTTGGACCCCACGATGCCCTCAATGTTCTGATGCCCTAGCCATTCAAGGAACCCGATGCATGGTAAAGGTCATGGTGGCCACCATCTTGAAGAGATCCAAGAGAATGGCTTTTTGTTTCAATCTCTTCAGTAGTTAGCAACGTTATTTGAGAAGAAAAAAACAATGACTCCGAGGATGCTTGGCATAATTCCTTGAGTATAAAGTCAGGCTTTTATCATCAAGGAGAAGGGAAAGTTATTGATGGAAGGATGGAGTCTTAAAAGAGCTCAATCCATTTTCCATTGGCCCACTTTCCAATTCTGGGTAACCCCAGTATTTCTTGGAGTACTACATATAGCACTTTGATCCCAAACGAATTGAGTCAGGAAGATTTTAAAAAATTATGTGGCAGGCAAACAGGCCCTGGCTCTAGCCATGTTCAAGTCTGGTAGATGCTCCTGTAGCCTTGTGATGCCACTAATTGCAAGATAATAACTCCAAGGATTTCTACAATTGATGGAATGGCATTCTTTGAGAAAGAACTCATGAGACTAATATTTTGATAATCAAAGAAGTGAGGGTCATTTAGCCAATAATTTTTTCTGGAGATGACTTCTAGTGACATGAACTAATGACAAGCTGCCAAGGCAAACTGACCAAGATGGGAATCTCCACTGTCCTAATCTAGTGCCAGTTCTACAAAATTCTCCATGCCAGGAGACTTATGTTTAAAATCTGGAACAAGGCTAAGTCCATTTGCCTCTAAGAGCAGCAATGTTAGAGAGAATATATGTATTTGTCCTGTTTGTAATGGAACGATGGGATTAGTGCCTTCCCTCATTCTTGTCACTCCTTTTTCATCCCCTACCTAAAATTAGCTACAAAAGAATCTGGCCCCCACTTAAGTAACCTACCAGCTGTGTTTTTAATTACCGGTATCCATGTGACTGAGCAAGAAAAGTGCATATTCAAGTTTGTGATGTTCTAGTGTAATGGGTTTCTGTGCTCTAACACGGTGATGGTGAACCTGTGACATTCGTCACAGATGAAGCTGCATTTTCAGTGACATGTCAGCATTCACCAGCATCAAACAACTATTCTCAAAAGCATGCCCCGTTCTTGTGTGATTTTTGGAGGCTGCAGAGGCTGTGCAAGAATGGGATGTCTTCTCACACGGCCTCTGGCCCCTCCAGAAGGTACATGAGAGGGCCATGCAAGTGCCTTTGAAAATTGTGTGAGAATGGTGCGTGCTTTTCCATGGTTTTTGGAGGCTGTAGAAGCTGATGAACATTGGATTACGTGAATGTTCCTTTTCCTCTGTGGCGTAGAGAGTCCAGATAGATCGGGTAGTGTCAGGTCCTGCTCTGGTGGACTGAGTCTGCTCGAAAACTGAAGCTCCGCCCTATGCCATGGCCACGCCCCAGTTTTCAACGAAGCACTTGGAAGACTGGACGTGATTCTGGAGTTGCGAGATAAAAAGAACACACATTATTGCTCCCCCAACCCACACCCAGACCAGACGAACCAGGATGGGCCTGGACTTTCTATGCCACAGAAGAAAAGGAATATTCAGGTAATCCAATGTTTGTTTTCTTGTCTGTGGCTACGAGAGTCCAGAGAGATTGGAACATACTAAAGCCGGCCTGTCCCAGGGAGGGGCAAGAGTCTGGTCCTATTCACATTGGTGCTGGTGCACACTTTGTAGAACCCTTCTGCCAAAAGCTGCATCAGCTGATACAAAGGCATCCAGGCGGTAATGCCAAATGAAGGGAGATGGTGAAGACCATGTGGCCGCTCTGCAGATCTCCTCAATGGGCGCTTGAATAGCCCATGCTGCCGTAGTTGCTGCACTTTTAGTAGAGTAATCCGTCACTCGAGGCACCAGAAAAGACCTGCTCTGATAAGCCTTGGCAATGCAGGCCCGAATCCATCTACCCACAGTCGTAAGGGACACCTTTAACCCTAACGTGCTCGGTTGGAATGACATAAACAATGCCTCCGACTTGCGGGTAGGATGTGTCCTCCAGATGTATATCTTTAAGGCTCTATGTACATCCAGAGTGTGCCATGCCCGTTCCAAAATACGGGAAGGACCTTGGGACAAAAATTTTGGAGAATGAGCTTCTGAGCCCTGTGGAACCTAGAGTTAATTTTAGGGATGAAAGATGGATCTAACCGTAAAACAATTCTATCTGGATAGAAGACACACAAATCCTCCATAACTGAAAGGGCGGCCATCTCTGAGATCCTTCTAGCCGACGTGATGGCTACAAGGAAAGCCACATTGAGTGACAGGAGGTGTAAATTAATGTATCTAAGCAGTTCAAATGGTTCAGTCATTAAAGCCCTTAAAATTTTAGGAAGATCCCAAGTAGGGAATATATGAATCACCGGAGGCCTAAGGTTGGTGGCCCCTTTCAGAAACCTCCGAATGGTTTGGTTTTGAGACAGGGAACCCTTCCTATGTAAGTACAAAACTGAAGAAAGGGAGGCCACCTGTCTGCATAATGTGTTTGCTGAGATCCCCTTGTCAAGACCCTCTTGTAAAAAATCCAGAATATTGGCCACAGAGGCCAAAGTGGGGGAAATCCTATTCTTGATACACCACTAGCAGAAGACCTTCCATGTGGCTTGATAGATCTGGTTGGTAGAAGGCCTCCTTACTGATAGTGGCCCCACGCCTGTGCAGAGTCATTTGCAAAAATGAATCAAGCAAACGTAAATTCATTTATACTATAAACTCACTCGCCAAAACCAACACCAACCATAAGAACCTCCGTTGCCGCCCTGACCTAACCATACAGCAACGTGCCCGCTCCCGTGTACTCCGCATTGAACTCAAAAACCGTCTAGACAATGGAGAGAAGGACCTGTACATTGACTACCATGCTGACTGTATCAAAAGTAAGCCACGCAACCCAATACTCAGCTTTTACCCTCAACCACAACCCTACCTCAACCGATCCACCATCACCCAAGATTAGGCACGCATGCCCCCAACTACCTCAATTCCAACTACTGCCGGCCTTAAATGCAAACTACTCAATGCAAGAAGCCTCGTGAATAAAATACCTGAATTTCTCATCCTCCTAAATATGGCTAACTTCGACATTATATTTGTCTGTGAAACATGGCTCAATGCATCTCTCCCCGACTCCATTACCACAGTAAGAGACTATCATGTTTACCGATCAGATCGTGAAAATCGTCGAGGAGGTGGTGTTGCTATCTTCTATAAAAAATCCTTACATCTAAAAAATATCCAAGTTACCCAGGAGCTTGCTCTTCCTGAGACCATCATCTGTGAACTAT